CTTCTCCAGAGAACACTGACCATAAAGCTTCTTACCACGTACAGACATCTCCAGCACAGCACGCAGAGGATTCCTTGAATAAAAGGGACAGTGATGGCTGTGGGAGTCGTCCCAGGCAGTGTACTGCCAACTCGGAAGGCTGGGACACAGTACCTGATGAAGCCTACGACCTGCTTGATAAACTTCTGGATCTAAACCCAGCTTCTAGAATAACAGCAGAAGCGGCCTTACTGCATCCGTTCTTTAAGGGTATGCGCTCCTGATGCGGGTGTCCATTCACGGCTGCTGTGTGTTGTCAGGTGGGGTAGGTAGCTGAGCACAGGTTCCAGGGAAGGATGAATAACTTATTTTCAAATTACGCTGTTTGCTCTGGTGTCAAATTGTAAACAGATTAAGAATTATTAAATGTTCAGGGGAGTCCTTAACATGATCTTTAGTTAAACCACCAAGTAGAGGCAGAGCTTTTAAAGTTCCCTGTTTTCTCTGCTTCTGGAGCAGCCTTAGCCTGACGCACAGGTTCAAGGAACAAGTCATGAGTCACAGATATGACAGGGAGTAAAAGTGAAGAAGACTGTTTCCAGATCTGTGTGGTCTGTGCTGTGTGTGCATGGGGAACTGTTCTTGGTGGTGTGTAGGAGATGTGATCCTTCCTAGAGGTGTGCATATTTATAAACGCAAATAATGACTGCGGAGATGTGGGCAAAAGACACCACTTCAGACAGTCAGTCTTGTACGTTGTTACACGGTGCTTACTGCAGAGTTCTGGTGCTTTCCTCAGTGTTACATGTATTTATATTGGGAGCCTAATAATGTGCATATTGTGGATAAGGCAGAAATGCTCCTTTCTCTTGTATGACCATTTTTTTCTCACCATCTTAGTTTATTTAATTAGGTAGCTGCCACAAGGAAAGGTGAGCATACACCTGGGAACCTGAGGGTGTTGTCTGCCGGGAGCATCCAGATTTCTGCATTTCTGTTCAGAGTTGACCTTGCTCAGAGAGAAATGGTTCCTGGAGTCTCGGGAGGACTGGGAAGAAAGATAATGAAGTAGACAGAGTAGCGAAGGACTTGCACAGCATTTGTGCATTTTTACACTCACCTGCTCTGTGTCTTTGGTAGCACACCAGGCTTCCCAGGGGTCGGGAGGGGAGACTTGCTGAGGAGTCCCCTTGGTATAACCACAGGTTCTAGGGAACTGTTACTCACTCAGAAAATTCACTTTCCTGTTTTGAACACTGGTAGATCAATGGTGTATACACATATTGTCTTATGCTGTATTTTTTTTAAACTTGAATGTCTTGGGGATATGTATTTAATAATAAACGTTTCTTTTTAGATTCTCATGTCAGATTACTCCTTTTAAAGAATGATAACTTAGCCAGGCACATGTGGTATGTGTCTGTAGTCTGCCCAGGTTGCTTGAGCCATGGAGAAAGCCAAAGAGTGGGGAGGAGAAAAAAAAAAGAAACAACTTGTACATTTTTCCCCCCGCCAAACATTGTGTGGCACACACCTTTAATCCCAGCACTCAGCAGGCAAAGGCAGACAGATCTCTTGAGGTCAAAGCTAGCCTGGACTGGATACGGAACTCCAGGCCAGCGAGGGCTGTCTAGTGTATATAGTATAAGTAAAATTATTTTTACTCCCGAGATGAACGTGCAGCCCTCCTCCACTATATAGAGGGTAGTAAGTGAACAAGTACTGGCCTAGCTGGGTAAGCTAGAGAAGTTGGAAGTGTCTGTAGTGTGTGTCCTTTGACCTAATTACCAGGTTCTTCACAGTGTAAAGCATGTGTCAACAATCAACATGAACTCTAATCCAGCTACAGTTTTGACTCACAAATTGACTATCAGGAGAGTCAGAAGATACAAGAATTTACCAAAAGAGAGCAACAGTCTCAGGAAACTTAGAATTCAGAGCTGTCGTTTCAACTTCTTTTAGGACAGGACTTGATTGACATCAAGAACTAAAGATAGAGATATGTTAATAAAGATAGCAGGATTACAGGTTGGTTTTCAGGGAATCTAGAGGATGTTTCCTCAGTTTTTTTTTTTGTTTTTGTTTTTGTTTTTTTGAGACAGGGTTTCTCTGTGTAGCTTTGCGCCTTTCCTGGATCTCACACTGTAGACCAGGCTGGCCTCGAACTCACAGAGATCCACCTGCCTCTGCCTCCCGAGTGCTGGGATTAAAGGCGTGCGCCACCACCGCCCAGCTTGTTTCCTCAGTTTTGAGGAAACATCCCCACCATGTTCATCAGAATTAGTAAGGAACCTGTACATATGGCATTGTATATGCTTGTGTGAATGAGTGTGTGTGTGTGTGTCTGTGTCTGTGTGTGTGTATATGTGTGTGTCTGTGTGTGTCTGTGTGCGTGTGCACTCTGTTTAAAAAAAAAAAAAAACTGGGATTACAGGTGCCTGCCATTGACTTCAGCTCTGTGGGTTCTGGGGATCTGAACCCCGGTCCTTGTGCTTCAGTGGCGTTACCACCTGAGTTGTCTCCTCAGCTCCTTCGTGGTTAACACATCTTATCCTTCCCTCCGGTAACCAGGCAAGACAGTCATTTCTGAAGGAAGATACGGAGATTGTGTTGGCATGGTGTCAGGCTCAAGGTTTGCCTGGGCTTCGTAAGCAAGACTCTCAGAGTGACTGAATGTTTCCCTATTATAAAAGGTCCTGGAATATTTGACTACTCTTCATGGCCAGCTTTTTAACAATTCTTACTGCTTGAACTTGGGGTTGTTAAGGTTGTTTTTGTTTAATAAGCCTTTAGACATTTAGAACTATTAACATAAGCTACAAGTACTGGTTTTTGAAACAGGCTGAACTTCAAACCTTCTTAATGAAACTTTCCCTAATAAGGAGATGATTATGCTTTTCTTAATGATTCAAATTAAGAAAAATAAATAAAAAGTGGCTTGAGGATTGTTATTCTAAAGAGTTCAACTGAATTTGTTTCAAAATCTGAATAAAACTCATCAAGTAATGTTAATCCCTTAGTTTCTGGCATGAGCATTGTAGGAACAGATTTGCATCACAGATGTCAGAATATTGATTGCATAAGGTCTTGAGACCCATAAAACTTGTAGACTTAGGCCCTAGTACTTTCTGTTGTTCATGTAATTGCAGCCTAACACGTCACTGTAAAGTTATTTATCTTAAAAAAAAAAAAAACAGGTCATGTTTGGCGGGTAGCGCTGTCTGCCAGCATCTGCAGATGTGCTGATCCCGCCCACACGCGTGTGTCATCCGTGGTCTCTGAAGGACACTATCTCCAGACAGTCGTGTCAAATCCTGCTTCAGAATTTTCCCCATCTTAAAATTGATGCAGCCGTTCCCCGATTTCCGTCAGTGTGTGTGTCTGAACTGCCGTCTTTGAGGGGTAGCCTGTCACTCGGGGTCCAGATAAGCAATCAGAAGTAGTTGAGGCTTTCATCAGAATAACCAGAGTCACCGATAAGGTAAGGCTTCTGCCTCCAGTGGTGTTCTGGATATCTCAAGTGGAAAAGTACAGTCTTTGGAGCAACTGCAGATTGGGTAAGAAATCACACAGACGTGGAGATGGAAGTAAGCCATAAACCCTGCAGATGGTACACACGTACACACACACACACACACACACACACACAGAGAGAGAGAGAGAGAGAGAGAGGAGAGCACTTGATATGAGCTGCTTGTTTTCTCAGTGGAAGAAAATTAAAAAGATAAAATTGTCCTTGAACTTTGTTTTTAGTGCTTTAGAAATTGACACTTGATGGAAAAGAATTCAAAAGGAGGAGTAACATTCAAAACTATTTGAAGAGTGTTTTCCTTATTTTTAAGCATATCCTGTGAGCAGAATATCCTTTTGAAGGTGACACCATGGAGCAGATTCGTTCCACCTTGGACCCCACTGAAGCAATGCTTTAGGAAAAGTAACAGGGCTGGAGAGATGGTTCAGTGGTTAAAAGTGTTCCTTGTTCTTACAGAGGACCCAGAATCAGGTCCCAGCACCTACATGGTTTACAGCCATCCCTAACTCCAGTCCCAGGGGATCCAACACCCTCTTCTGACTTTGGTGGGCACCAGAAACGTGGTACACATGGCAAAACTCTTACATATGAAAACAAACCTAAAATGTTTTTTTAAAAAAAAGTAATGGGTTTTGCACTAGAAAATTTAATCCCAACACATGAAAGAGGTTGAAAATTAATAACCTCACCTCTGGTGCTGGATTCAGACAATGTCAGTGCCACTATTGGGGAGCCAAAAAGACAGAACATCCCAAACCAGAAGAGTAAAAGCTCCATTCTGTCAGCTGTGGGCGAGGAGCACACATTAGAATATGAAAGAGCTGTTGGATGGTTTATTTCTAATCAGAAGTGATGCACATGCTTCCTATCCACTTTGAGCTCACCATCATGTGCTTTCGTGTGTATTTATTATTTGCCCTGTGTGTAGATTCCTTCTGTAACTTTGCCGAAGACCATAGCATGTGCTGTAGAAATGACTCCAACTGGGAGAAGACCGTGAAAGTGAATTGGAAGCAGATGTATGGCTCCCTAGCCTCACGTTGTTGTTTTAGCTCAGTCTTCAAGAATGGGGCAAGGTCTGGGGAGCCCAGCTGCCACCATGTGTCTCAACACCCCGAGTTATGCTTCTTTTTATATTTCTCGTGGTTTTTGTTGATTGCTGTCTTCCTCTGCTCAAATGCTCTGATTAAAAACAAAACCAGCCACACTGCAGATGTCAGGTATGAGTAGTCTCTGAAAGTATCACCAATGTTTCCTTAACATACACTTTTCTCTAAGGTGGTGAAATAAATGCCTGGTGTGTGTGTGCGTGTGTGTGATTTTGAAAGATTATGTATATGCATGTCTTTTTTTTTTTTAGACAGGATTTCTTTGTAGATAAGGCTGGCCTCGAACTCACAGAGATTTCCTCTGCCTCTGCCTCCCCGGTGCTGGAATTAAAGGCTTGTGCCATCACAACCAGCCTCTGTGTGTCTTGAGTGTGGGTGAATTGAGTGTCTGCAGGGGTCCAAAAGAGGTCATTGGAAATGGAATTACAGGAGTTATAAGTCCACCCGACATGGGTGCTGGGGCCTGAGTGGTCCCTGGTGCACACCTTTAAAATGCATCATTGTGTTTATTTATTTAAATGGTGCATGAGGACAGTCTTCCGTAGTTGGGTTCTGGGGGCTGACTGCCAGGCTTGGCTGCCTTAACCCCTGAGCCACTTCACTGGCCCTTAGCACCTTTCACGATTTGCTTTAAAACCCAGTAAGTAAATACTCATATCAAATACATATTTATAGGAAAGAAGCATCGGTTCTCTTACAGTTAAAAACACCTCAGCATTCTACACCTCTTTCTGTGTCTTTTTTTTGTTTTTGTTTTTGTTTTTTGAGACAGGGTTTATCTGTGTAGTTTTGGTGCTTGTCCTGGAACTCACTTGGTAGCCCAGGCTGGCCTCGAACTCACAGAGATCCTCCTGACTCTGCCTCCCGAGTGCTGGGATCAAAAGCGTGCGCCACCGCTCCCAGCTTTTGGGAAAACATCCTTTCATTGGTCCAAACACTGAGGAGCCAGGTACACGTAGAGTTAGGTGCTTGACAAATACTACTTGAAGTAATGCACTTGTTAATTAATTTGCTTTCTTGGCAATAATACCAGACTAGAAACTTCTTTTTTGTTTTGTAAAAATTATTTCTTGTGTCTTTTGAGACTACAATTTTATCATTTACCCCTTCCTTTTCTCTCTAAGCCCTCCCATATACACGTCCTTGCCGTCCTTCAAATTCATGCCTTTAATTGTTTACATACATATCCCTAAATACATAACTATAGCCTGCTCTGTCAGAAACGTCTCTTAACTAGAGTGTCTGTGTTTTCTGTTTCAATTTTTTTTTTAACGAAGTCTCACGTAGCCCAGGTTGGCCTTGAGTTTTCTGTGTAGCCAAGGATGCCCTTGATCTGCCTCCTCTTACCAAGCGCTGCTGTGACAGGCATGTCCGTCATGTTCAGCCAGAGTGCATTTTTTCACTGAGGAATTTATCCTTTGTGTGCGTTCCCTCTGTAACTTTTCACTTTTTTTTTCTCAAGATTTATTTATTATGTATACAGCATGTATCCCTGCAGGCCAGAAGAGGGCACCAGATCTCATTACAGATGGTTGTGAGCCACCAAGTGGTTGCTGGGAATTGAACTCAGGTCCTCTGGAAGAACAGCCAGTGATCTTAACCCCTGAGCCATCATCTCTCCAGCCCTCTGTAACTTTTCTGAAGACTAGCATATGATTACACTAGACAAGAAACTGGAAGGAGAGAAAAATGAAATCGCTTGCTCCAATAGTCTTCCCTTCCT